GACTCGTACGAGCGTGTCCGTAATAAGCGGCGTATACGCTCGGCTATTACCTCGGGTAGCATCGCGCGTTCGCTCGCGGCTCGCCTCCGCGAGCGCGTTCGTTTTCGTTCGGAATCCGGATTGTCGTTACGACGCCGGGCGCGCGCGCGCACGGCGGGGGCAAGAAATCGCACGCGCGCGCGCGAGAGAGAGAGGTTCTTTCCGCGACGCAAGAAGCTCGTCGCGAAGCTTCGCTCTCTCGCAGCACGCTGCTGATGCACGGCTGCATCATCATCGCGCAGTCGCGTGGGTGTAGGTAGGTAAAACTGCGTTTATGCGCGCACGCACACCCCGTGGTGTCCTTCAGTGAAAGGACGAAAGGACGAGCCGTGGTGAACAAAGAGACGCACGCGAACAAAGCGACAAAACGTTCACTCCCTCGACGCTTAACGATCTCGTTCGGAAGGGGGAGGGAGGGGGAGAGAGAGAGAGACGCAAAGACATGGGCAGCGAGAGAGAGAGAAAAAGACGGATAGCCCGCGGTGGAAAGCAAAACGAGAGATAGCAGTTGCTTCAGTCAACGCGTGTACGTACGTCGTACGCCTCTATAAATACGAGCCTGTTGCGTTGGTATTACCGCGAAAGTAATGCGCCGGTCGTTCGGTAATCCCGACGCAAAAAGGTCGATGGCGACCCTGGGCGTCGAGTTATCGCGAGCGAAGTATACACCTGAGAAAGAGAGAGAAACACAGCGCGCGGCGGCTCAAGCGGAGGCGCGTCGATACGTTGTAGGTGCAGTCACTTACGCGAGAAGTCTTTAAGGTGCTCTCCCAGCGCGGATATCCGCCGGGCTTGGTGGTGTTTGGTGCGCGCTGCTTCCTCGACCACTACGCGAAAGAGTCGTCCGTCGGCCCTTTAAAACGCGCGGACACACTGGATCTGCGACGCACCGAGGACGCGAGAAAGCCGACGGTTTGTGTGCAAACCGTATGTGTATCGTGCAAGGCGCAGCTAAAACGAATAGACCCGGAAACGCGAGAGAGAGAGAGAGAGAGAGAGAGACTATAAACACAGTCGGTAATGCCAGGTCGTCGACAACTGAGAGTACCGGCCGTGTGACGTCGTCGACCATGTGAGAGCACCCTTAAGCGCGCGCTCGAGGCCCCGCTCCCCTCCCCTCCTGCTGTCGCTCGGTCTCGCTCGTTCCACCTCCCTCTCTCGCCCCGTCTCGCTCGCTCTATCTGCCGGCGGCGGGCGCGAGAGCGCGTCGAGCTCGCGCACTTGACTGCCGTGCTCTAAGTGAGAGCGCCACGTGACGTCGCGCTCGACCCCAGCCGCTGCTTCCGATAGCACGCGGGCCGATTGCTCGGCGCGCCGCGATTGGCCACACCTTTTCGCGGTGCGGCCGCGCGCGTCTCTCGTCGCGTTCTCGGATGCAATAACGATAATAATGACGACGAGGAGGAGGCGGCTGTGGCTCTCGAGGAGCGCCGACGACGAGCCGGAACCGAGTCGACGACGCGCGCGATTGTGACGGACGCCGTTTCGCGGCACACACGCGTCGCCGGCCTTACGCCAGTGACACCCGGTAAACACACGGCTTACCGTGCGCGCCCGTCGCCCCGGTCTTTAACGTACGGTACGTCGTGAAACTATCGGCTATCCCGTATCCTCGTCTTTCTCCGACGACTCCCAAGTTTGAGAGATTCTCCTTATCTCTTCGTACGTATAGTTATTACTACTATACTATTTGCGATTATCATCGTTACACTACGCAATCGAGACAGACAGAGAGTGAGGGAGGGGGAGAGAGAGAAAGAGAGAGAGAATGTGTACCGACACGTATATCAATGCGCTTACGAATGTTTCACCGTGTGTATACACTGTGTCGTGCCAGGGAGCAGCGACAAGCTATATTCGCATTTTAACTCTCATCGATCCCGCGACTCCATTTCTGGAATCATCAGGTATTAATGTAATTCGCGTTTCTGGCGATATATCTGATTTAGAAATCCGAAATAAGATCCGGTCACATTTACACCCAGTGTTCTGAAAATGGAGACCGAACGGACCGTGCGCGCCGGCGGTGTGTTTTCGACGACACCGTTAGCGGACCGCGCGCAGACGGTTGGTGTGGTACTTTGCTCTTTCTTTCCTTCTCTCTCCCTCACACCTTTATCTCTCTCTCTACGTCTCTCTTTCTTTTCCGCAAGGATGATATTTGCACGTCGGTACACTTTCGTCGACGTTACGTCACCGGGAGACGCGAATACCGATGCCTGAATAAATGCAAGCGCGATCGATATAGGCGACTTGTGATAAATATTACATTATCCATGAACGTGCGCGCGGTTTCCACGAGTTCTCGTAATGTCTCTCTTTCTTTCTCTCTTTCTTGCCCACGGAATGTCTCAGAAACGATTTCGTCAAGGCGATCGCCCTACGTATGCTCGAGTCTTCATCGAGGAAGAAGACTGCGGGGGGGGGGGGGNGGGGGGGGGGGGGGGGGTGAAGGAGAGAAAATGCGGGAATCAATTGGCGGGATTACGATTACTTACGAGAGTCTTAAGCGCACCGTATCACACACAAACACACACATACAGAGTCTACGTGTCTACGAGACACTCTGTAGATCGCGATGTCGTAATTTGCCGAAAATAGAGCCAACGTGTATACACAAATGAGGCGTCCCCCGAGAGAACAGATCCGTGCTAGAGAATCGATCGGGAGTGTGATCCGGATCGATTCTCTCCGCGTGGATTACGCGTCTATAAATTAGCCACGAAGATACTTAAGCTCGGCGGACACGATTATTCATTCGCCTCCGAATAATGCACGTCCCGTTAGGTATTCTCGTAAGAGCAGGGCATCGATAATCGCGCAGCTAAGCTCCCCCCTCCCTCTTCTTCATTATCAGTCTTTATTACATGCCCCGAAATTTAGGAGGTCCGTGAACCATCGAGAAACATTCGCCTCGGTCCTCGAAGATATCTCCCCTACGAGGACCCGCGGCGTACACTGAGAGAAACATTATTCGATATTTATGACTATAATCGCGTATGAGTGAGAGAATTTTTAGAGAAGAAGGCAGTATTATGGTTTTCCATTTATATTTTGCACAATAATTATAAAAATATTAAAAATATTATAAAAATATTATTAAATAATCAATATTTTAAAATGAAAACAAAGATTATATTCGGTAAAATGTTGTTGAATCGTCTTTAAACTCAATGTTGTGAAGTAGTTATTATTTTTAATGTTATTTATAAATATGTGGCGACAATGCATAAGGGGTCGAAACGGAATAGAGTGGTAACGTGGACTCCCACTAAAAGGATCGAGTTAATCTTTTTCTAATTACACGAGCAGTTCGACCATACTTGCATTCAATAAATAAATTCAATCAAATCAAGACTAAAAGTCTCCTAAGAAGATCATCATATTCTTATATATAAGAATATCTATTCTTGATTTAAGACTAATTTTTTTCTCTGTATACGCAGTACAAGTTTCATCGAATTCTCATCGAATTCTCATCAAATTCCTTCCTCTTGCAACCTCCGTAATGAGTATTAATTGCGGATTAATGAGGGTCGGTTCGACGTGGAATACTCGTATTGAAAGTCTGGAAAATGAGTCCGGCGTGTATGTCACATTGTCGAACAATTTTATCCTCCATTTTATTCCCATTTAGATTTATCGGAATTTTAAAACTCCTTCGACATCTTTCTTTGGTAAAACTATAATAAAAAAAAAAGGACCATTTGTCTAGTAAGCGTTATCATAGAATATCAGCGATAACATCCTTACATGCATATCGCTACTGTTAATTTTTCGGAGCCGATTAAAAGAAGATATAGTTGAGTTACCGAAAACAATCATCATTTCATTGGGATTTCCCTCAGTGTACCTCGCGACGTCGTCCGATGAATTAGCGCGCGCGCGGAGAGAGATCATAAAACGGGCAGATGACAAACGTCACTCGCGGAACGCAAGTGCCGGGTTCGTAAAATCGTGGACAAGCGCGTCTTCCCCTTTTATTACGCGCGTTCGAGACTCGTTCGCGGAACCATAATGAACACCTGCCCGGACCTGACCGCCTGTGAGAGCGCTTTATTGGCTCTATTCCACTGACATAATAATCATCATCGTATCATCGGCGGGCTCGCAGCGATACCGGCAAACGGTTGCCGATTTCAATATTAGACGCGACACCACCACACCCGAACTACGTGAGTCCGGTCCGCCAATCGCGACGCTAACTGTTGGAATGCTTCAGCTCATGTGTACGATAAAGTACACAAAGTGTAATAGTAATAACAATAATTGTCATTATCACTATCATTGTCTACTGAAGGAAGAAGGAGAGAAGGGAAGAATGAAAGCTGAAATAAACTTAAAGAAAATGAAAAAGCTAGAAAGTGGAAAAGAGGAGGAAGAGGGGGGAGCGAAGCGCAAAAGAGGGAGAGAAGCGCACTAATCACATTGCGACGATGTGCGTGACAATTGGAACGTTGCGGTTCCGTCATGATCGAGATAAGGGTCGGCGACGATGCACATTGCTGTGGCCGAGCACGTGATAAAGGCGATAAGTGGAAAATTTGCGGACGAAATCCATCGCAGCCTCGTCAATACGAGGCGACGACGATCGCGAATCACGTGCGTCAACAAGCTAATTACTCGTTTCAGCCGCCGCCGCTCTGAGTCGATAAGGCGATAGTGCGCCGATAGAGTGAAACGATACTTCTACGAAAGCGTGGTGGATGCGGCTTCGATGGAGACGATTCAATGCCGCATTTCGCGGATTTCGAGAGACATTTTTATGCAATGTTTTCCCCTCTCTCTCTCTCTCTCTCTTGCTTCGCAATTGCAAATCGTCTCCATCTCTCTTCTTATCTCCTTTTCCCTCTTCCTTAGCGCGAACGTTTCGCAACGGTGACGAGAGAGGACGAACGTCTCCGCTCGCGAAGAAACTACGAGAATAGAAAGCAAAAGGACATGTGTTATTGGCAGCTCACCCTCGCTCCGAGAAAGCGGGCCTCCAATAACTCCTGCTTCCTTGGGTCCAGGGTGGCCTGAAAGTGCTCCATCTTGACGCCAGCGCCTGGAACAACAAGTTACAGCGAATTATACCTCCGACCTTTCGCTCGCGGCGTCAGTGATGAAGAAGCACGAAGAATCAGGGCCGAAGAATGGGGACCGAGTTGGGACCGGAAAGGCGGATCCCAAGGTCCAGCCCGAGAATGTCATCGTGTACGTACGACGCACGAAGATCCTCTCTCTCTCTTCTCCCTCTTCTCCTTTATTTCACGTTTACTAGACGATCGACATGGTATTGAAACAAGAAGGAAATGAAGAGAGCGCAAAGGACGGAAGCCGAGAAAGAGAGAATAAGCGCGACTTGGCCGCGTGGAAAACAGAAGGAGAAACGGAACACGACGAAAGTTTCCGGCATGCTTTCAGCCAGTCGATATTAAATACCGGGTGGCGTTATTACCGCGTGGTTGCGAGCGCAGAGAGGACGGGATACCCGAGTTCATCCGCGACCTGCCGGTCCCTGAAGGCAAAGAGAGAGAGAAAGAAAGAGAGAGAGAGAGAGAGAGAGAGAAGTACGCCTAATCGCGGTCGAGTTCGTTTCTTCTTCCCGAGATTATCTAAAGACCAGATCATCCCCGTGCGAACGCAAACACAGAGGAAACCGCCGGGGGAGTGTTGGTAATATTAATTCGCCGAGGTGGTGGCCGGCCACCAGCCTGGAGTCCGTCTCACACGACGAGGGCTTCGATCGGCGCTCGAGATCATCGCCGGGGAGCATTCCAGCTATTTGTTCCGCTCTCGGGAATAACCGGAATTCACACGATCGGCCGTAATTCGGGATATCGGCTGGAAGTATCGAAAAAACTGACACGTCGTCGTCGAGTCGTTTTCCGCAAATATTTCCAGATAAATTATCAACAGTCGGTCGAGATAGTCTTCGCGATATCGCGCGGCGTCCTCGGAATTATAAACGGCGAGGGGTTACCGGGTAACGCGGATGATTACCGCGCGCGCAATAAACTGGACATCCCACGGCTCATAAACGGGTGCAATCCGCGTGCTATAATTAGCGTTTCGCAGGGCCGCGTTATGCCAAGCATTATCTATTTCGATCGAGCGGATTGTGGATTTAAAGCCCCACCGTGGACCTCTTCTCCGCGAATAAACCACCACGCTGCTCTCTCTCTCTCTCTCTCTATTGTGACCTCCGCTGGAGAGGGCTCTCCGCCAGTCCCTCTCGTAAAATTATCCCGATCGACTGGCGACAGGTGACAAAAACTAACGCAATTATTCGCGCGCTGGTCGCTTTATTAAAGCGTCCATCAGCGGCGCCGCTCGCTACTTCGTCCTTCTCCTTCTCCGCGTCCACGACGACAACAAACAGAAGGTCTGTTCTTTATAGTTGCGCTTTCTGAACTCACTGTCTGCTGTATGAATCGCGCATGCTATCTCCCGTCACCCTTTTTACGGATCTGTTCCCAACGTTTTCGTGAACATTTCGGCCCACTTCGTCGGGTAGAAAAGCAGCCCGACACCGAGTCGCTTCTCAGTAGGCATTTTTTTTTTATCAACATCGCGCGGAGAAAACAAATGGCCAGTTAAATTAGCGTGTCAACGAGCGGGCCAATCGCGCTTGAGCTGAAGGAAATGGAATCTCTGGTTCTTGCAGAACGAATTCGACTAAGAATCATAAATTTTGAGAACCGAATTCGATATACAAAAGTCAGGTTTAGTTGAAGGATAGTTTCTTTCCTTCAATGAAAACGCGCTTGGTTTGTTCGCTCACGCGTTAATCCAACCAATCTTTTCTCTCCGTGCTTATCACGGGGAAAATAAATTGTAGTGAAAATTACTAAAAGATTTCTAATGCTAGATTATATCGGAATTATTATCAAAATTATTACGTGCGTTGTAATCTTTAGTGATGTGTATACATGATGTACATCATAAAAAATTACAACACACATAATTTCATAATTCCGGCATGGTCCAGCATTTCGCGAATTTTTTTGGTAATTTTTATTACAATAGTTTCTCCGTTAGGAAGAAAGGAAGACCTATTGAGAAGCGACTCAATGTCGGATTGCTCTCCTATTTGACGAAAATGAACAGAAATGTCGCGTTAATTCGACCAATCCTTTTTCTCTCTGTGCGATTTATCTTGCAACCAATTGTCCTGTTACTTACAGATTTACACGTGACTAATTATGAAACTTTTGGAACCTATCTCTATTATCTTCTCTCTTTTCCCCTCGTCAAATATGTACCTTCTTCACTTACGTATGCTGAAAAATCAGTTTGGTTTAGTCGGATCTACTTGAAAATGGACAACCGAACGCCTTTAGGTTGAAGGAAACTTCTAGTTCTCACGAATCAAATTTTTTACGACCAGGCAGTTCTGTCCTCCTTCAACTAAAACACGTTTGGTTGTCCATCGTCGGGAAGATCCAACCAAACTCATTTCTCTATGTATGGGCGGTCCGACTCTCAGGTGCAGTTATAAAAAACAGACCCGGAGAGCTCGAGCTTCTCCAGCGAGGGTGCATGGTTAAAACTCGACCGTCGTCGGCCGAAAAACACGCTCGCTCTTTCGGAGCGTGCAGCTCCGCTCGGTGTCGTGTTCGCAGCCGTTTTCTCTTGTTATCAACGCACCTATGAATGAATGAGTCGCACTGCTCGCCGTTACTTTCGAGAATCACTGCAATCCGTTAAAGACATTATACACGTTCACGATGCGTGACCGCGGCCGTTGCGAGTTACCAAACGGTGCAACAGCGTTCCTTCTGCGCCGATATATATCTTTATCTTCGATATTCTCTCTCTCTCTCTCTCTCTCTGTCGGATGCGAAGAAGCGTCGTCTCGTCCACTTCGATTTCGACGGAGAGGAAATCGGGCCGAGCGTGCGCGAGCAGCCTGAGAAAAGCGATTGTCGCGCGAGCGTGCGCGACGATGAATTAAAGTCACTATCGACTGGCGGAACGCATCGGATGGTTAATAGATCCGAGCGAACGAACAAGCGAACGAACGGACGAACGAACGAGCGAACGAACGGGCGAACGAACAAGCAAGCGAGTGAATGCGCGCGAGCGAGCGAGTGCAGCTCGCGCGCAGTCATTGAACCCGTCGTCGGCCACAATTTTCATGTAAAACGAGGGCAAGGCTATTTTATTCGTAGCGCCTGGGATAGGCGAATGGACGCCATAAGAAGATAGATAGATGCGGTTCGTCGAGGCGCGTTTAATTGTGCAACTCGAAACAATGCACCTTTGCGACACTACGTGAGCGCGCGTTACGCCCCTGCGACGACGTGCGGCGAAATCGTCGTCGAAAATCGTGCAATACTCGAAAACATTCGAAAAACAGCGTTCTCTGTTCATCAAATAAATTTCGCTATCTCTCTCTCTCTCTCTCTCTCTCAAAGACTGCGTCTTTCTTATCCAAGGATCATCGACAACAACGGCGGCGGCGTCGTCTACCTTCCTCGGTTGTCCTCCTCCCTTCGCGACGAACAACGCGACGACCGACGACGACGTTACGTCGCGGTACTGAGCGGCAGGGTTGTCGTTGTTTCTTTTCTGCACGACGTCGACGCCGCCGACGTTACCCATCGGCGAAACAACGAAGTGTCACAACGACGACGATGGGCAACAACAGCTGGAATTTCATTCGTTCTACAAAAGGCGCGGAGAAAGCGCGCTAGCAACAATGTGAGGAAAAGAGAGAAGAGGCGCGGAGAGGGGGGAGGGAGAGACGATACGAGGCAGGACGGAACGGGACGAGACGCAGCGCCTGCGAAGGATATTTTCGCGGGCGGCTTCCACACAACGCCCGGCGAATTACGTTACACCGCGTCGTAAAAGCAACACACAACGCGTCCATCGCGGTAACCGCCGCGTTGCATCTCTTTCTCTCACTCCCTCTGTCTCTTTCTCTCTGGGCGGTCTCTGAAAAAGTGTGTCATCGAATACTGTGTGGCCTCTCTCTCACTCTTTTTCCTCGTCTCTCTCTCTCTCTCTCTTTCTCTCTTCTTCTCCCTCTTTCCCCGTCGCGGCGACACCGCGAGAGACACGCAGTATATCGAAAACACCTATTTCGCGGTTTGTCGGACAGAACTGAACGCCGACATAGAGCCAGCGCGCCGATTAGACACGAGTCAGGGCTATCGGGCGCACACGGGACATCTTTATCGCCGCTTTTATCATGACTAGCAGTATTTATAGAAGGATGACTAATTAGATGTGATTTCCACAAGAATCTGCTACTTCCAACGGCCGTTCTCGCTCTGAGGAAGCTGCTCTCCTCGGGCCTTTTTCCTTTCGTCGCGATCACGACGAACGTGAAGCGAACCTCACGCAAGACAACACACGCTCGTCGCGCGACCAATTAATAATCGTGCGATCAATTAACAGTGACGATTAATTATGAATTTAAAAGCTCGGAAAAAAAAACCGGGATTCTTCCCAATTCTTCGCAGTTTTACTTCGGGCCTTTGTCCCAAGAATATAAAAATTCCTTTAGAAAAATGCACGTTACGCTCGGTTAAAACATTATCGCGTTTACATTTTTCCGCGAAGAAGATAAGAAACTCCAGAAATTCGCGAAAAAATTGAAAAAAAGAAAAAAAAAACGATGTTTCTTTCCAAATTTTATTTGAGCTCTGAAGCATAGCATTGGAGTGGGTCATCAAGGAGGGGGGTGTCCCATTCGTAGAAAAGGACACGCGTATTCTGGATGTATCCTTTTCTCTGTCATATACAAAAGTACGTACAAAAGAGACGGATGTTCCTCCGATATCTATTCCCCTGTCATTTCCTCCGCAGATTTCCATAGTTCACCACAGGGAAGGCTCACTCCGGTATACCACCGGAGCTCAGTGAATTTCCCGAAACTTCGAGACTACACAATCAATCGCCATTATCAATGATCACATCACGTGGTCCTCGCGCTTCTCGGCGTCCACGTAGCGCGCGTCCGCGTTGCGTCCGTCGCGACGAAAGCAAGGCGGCGAAAGCACGATTGATTCGGGCGCGTACGTATCGGCAAATCCGAGCGAGCTTTCGCGAGGTTCAACGGAGGCTCACGAACGGGAAAACTTATTCCGCGTGAAGACGCTCTCGCGGAATTTCGCGGCGCGATAAATAAAGGATCGACGATAATCGCGGATTCTCGGTGTCGATCTCGCTCGGCCGAATATGTAACACGGATCAACTGAGACCTTCGATGTTATATCTCAGTGAATGCTCGGGGCAGACCGGGGCGTAGCTGTCGCAGCGGCCACGAGGAGAGCGCGTTTCTCGCGGGGAATCGAGCAAAACCCGTACAGAGGATTGAAGTCGGAATGAGATAACGGCGAATTTGGGTGTATCTACGCCCGCACGGCTTGTGTGAAACTACTCGCGAGACGCACACCTATCGAGCCGCGCGCGCGCGCCGTCTTTATCTCTCTCGCTCTCCTCTCGTAATAGCGAGAGGTTGCGAAATTGTTTTCCGAGCGCGCACAGAGGACGGCGGACGGGAACGTTTTCGCGCCTGTGTTTACGCACGGCTGTATGTTATTATTCTCTCTCTCCCTCTTTCTCTCTCTCTCCTTTTTTTTCTTTCGTATGACATACCAGGCGGTACGTACGAAAGTCCGAAGCCTCGAGAGACCGGGAGAGAAACACGGGATATCGAACGGTCCGTTGAAGAAAAAAAAAAAAGTTCGACTCGCGTCCGCGCGCGCGCGACTGTGCGCTCGGTCGACGAAGTAGCGTTAATGTTCGCGTCTCGTAATTGAGCGACCGCCGCGAGAGCCGTTGCTTCGTGTGTCGCATGATTTATCCTCGCGTTACTTATCTAATCTCGCGTATTGTAAGGCCGAAATAACATCCGTATTTCTACACACAGGGTGTTCCGGATATCTCGCTCGCGCGAGAAAAAGGGAAAAACGGACTCGAAACCGAGAGAGATGCAGGGCGGCTCTCTTCCATCCCCGTCGCTTTTTCTCGCCCCTTTTTTACGTTCGACACTTTCGCGAATCTCACCCGAGGCACCCCGGTTCCGGACGCGTATCGAACGCTAGATATACCCTTCCCGGCCTCTCAGGCTGGAACGACGTTGTAAACCACGCTCTATAATAGGCGCCTTCCATTTAGTGACACAAGTCGGCACCAAGCGTCATTTTGTCTTTGTTTCATATTTAACGAGCAACAAGCCGGTGAACGCCGACCAGTGACACAAGTAGTAACGTCACGTCAACGTTATAATTTTCCATCCGACAATGCAAATGTAACGCATATGTTACGTAAGTTACATAAGTTGAGTGGAAAGCAATAACATTGATGTTACGTTACTGTCAATCGGTGTGTGTACAATCAATCCCTGCGACAGACAAGATTGTGTCACCAAATGGAAAGCACCCGATAAGAAAAAAGGAACTCGGGATTTAAAAAATAAGAGGGGGGGGGGAGGGAGCATATTAGCGTCCGTTGTGCAGTCGGAACCGAGCCTCGGAGAATCGGGACGGGAGTCCCGAGCGCAGCGCGTTCGGAGCACAAATCGGCAGTAAATACGTGAATGTATGGATGTTGGGGGTACACTTACCACCACCAGAGTTCCAGCAGTTATCAGTCATCCCTGTTTATCCATCTGCAAAGTTGGCACTACATTATAAATAACACTGATATCCAGCTCGCTCGAATGTCCTCGCGGCACGGCGGTCTTTTACGGCGGCGGTACGCACACCGGATGCACTTTTCATGAGCCCCTAGTGCCGCCTGACAAAACTCTCAGCTCCGCCGCATCGCTTTACACCACCAATGAGAGCACCTGTCTCATTATTGATCTCGCACTACACACTCTCTCTCGATCGCGATGTAACGGGTGGGCACCTCGGGTCGGCGGCAGTGGCGAACGTCCACGGTGGGTTCCTCTCCGCACTTCCGTTTTCCCTCCGCCTGGCTTCCCTCCTGGCTCCTTCTTCTCCTCGCACACACACACACAGGCACGCACACACGAGTTCTCCGAGTTCCGCGACGATTGATCCCTGCAAATGGCCCAAGCACGCGCGTCTACAGAACGGCCGAGCAGTTTAACCTACTTTTAATCACTCGTCCGGCCGCGCCGTTTCATCGTCAATTATAATTAAGTCGAGATTAACGGGCGACACGAGGACGGCCCGCCGAACGAACCGCGAATGAGTATCGAACGGATCGATCGGCGCCCTCACCTCGGCGGAGGTTCGTTCAGGGTTACGACGACGCGTCGAAACGCGGAGCGTACGCGGGTCCCTCCTCTCCTCCGCCGCTGCGGCAACGCCGAATCCTTATCGCGGATATTCGGCGAATATTGAGCGCGGGCTTTTAGAAGAATTTCCAACCGAGCTAAGGAAGAAACCGCGCAGCGTAAACCGGCCCGTAAACAGAATAAATTAATCGTTTCTATTTTTAGTTATCGTTATGTAAGTCGTCGCTTATACTAGAATCCATTCAGCTACGAACGGCGATTCGAACGACGAGGATCGTTCGAGAGCGCGATCGAGAGGCGCGCGATCGTGATGAGGCTACGGGGGGGAGACTCGCGCGCGCGGGGAAGGGGCACAACCGTCAGGAACGATCGACACACATTGACAATCGTTGATTTCGCGTCTCCGAGAATCTTTGCCTAGTTTCGAACACGCGGATTTCTCCGGGGCGAGGGCGGGAGGGGGGGGGGATAATTTCTCTCTTTGCTCATCTGTTGTCGTAATATCGGAAGGAAAGCCGGGACCGGCGGGCTAAACGCACGCCGTCGCGATGTAAGTATACCAGGTGCAGCAAAGCGCATAATGGCGGCATGATAAATCAGGAACTCGTCCCCGAACGCGAGCGCGAAATTCGAACCTTGAAAAATGCGACATACACAACGCCGACTGTCCGTTCGAGAGCTCGACGCTGCCGCTGCTCCTATTCGTCCTGGTTCTCCGTTCGCGCAGCGGTGCGAACCGTCTTGTTACGTCCAGCGTTCGGACGAGAACTCGCTCAGACGGAGGCGGGTCGAAAGAAAAAAAAAAAAACGCGCCCGTTTTCCGATTTACGGACGGTCTCGAGGAACGTAGACGCGCGAGCCGGAAACCGGTAGTAAGGTTATGTGCGCTCTGTTTCGGACTTTCTACGATTTCTATGTATAGATCGCGCGGCGACTAAAAATATATCGAATCGCGGATCGTTAACCAGCGAGACGCGCTGATAATCGTCGCGTGGACGACGACGAGAGTTCAGTGCGAGAAGACTCACGACGATACATGAAGATTCCAGACGAGTGCGTCTTCGGCCGCGACGCTCCGTGTGTAGCTCTCCTTATTCTTCGTGGTTCGTCACGTTCGTCCCGGCCCTTATATTGGCCCCGATATATCAGTACCGACAAAATTACAGCGCAACAATACCGACCGTGTGTAGTAGGTGCCGCTTTAGTCAAAGAGAGCAAATTGATCGAGACAGAGCACCGAGAGAGTGAGAGAAAGAGAGCACCGTGCTCGGCGCAACCGGCCGTTTAATCCCGCCGATCGATCCGATCTCGAATCGCGGCACATCGGACGGAACCGTCAACGACGACGACGTTCTATCGTGCGACTTCGGGCTCTCACCGGCTGCTTGCGTGAATCTGATATCGCGGCCGAGATATCTCGCGATGTTCTCGCGGCGTGTACGGCCGTGACACGCTCGAAAAATTCAGTTCGCGAACGCACGAGAGACGCCGAACGCGAAGTAGCAGCAGCAGCAACGACGACAAGGCGATGGCTCGGGTCGTCGAGGCCTTCCCCCTCGACCGGCCCCCCGTCACCCACCCGCTCC